TGCTGAAATCAATACAGCTACCTTGATTTAATCAAACTAAAGTGAACCATCTAGTATAAAATACGGATCCCCAGTGAAACATACTATGTTTAGTTGCTCATACCTGGACATTAGCAAGTTTCATGAAATCAGTTATTTCAGATTCCTCCTTAATTACTCCATGTACTTATAAAACTTAACTAGACAGAAGCTAGAGTAATGAGAAATGCTGTGGTAAATCGTGGTACATCCCAGGGAAGTTCATAAGATTGTCTCTAAAAGTTCAGGGAACAGAATTTGACTTTTTGGCAATACGTTTCATGATCACTAGATCCTGACAGAGGAAGGTACTTAACCTATCCCATCCTGGTTCAGGGCCAAATAGAAAGAGCTTGGCATCATTCAATGAGCTGTGCGACCTTAGAGGTTTCTTTTTATCAAGCCCCTGCTTCCTTTCACAGCACATTTGGCCACATCACATACAGTGGGGTAGGAGGCCAGGAAATGGTCTCTCAGTGGAAAAATCTAGCTGCCATTTCTATTAACTCATCCAGCAGAATCACCTTCTCGGCTATTGTTAAAGCAGCTGCATTTTTTTTTTCTGCTGAATTGGCTTCTGTGGGCAGACAGAGAATGTTTTTAATATATCTTTGAAAAAACACTGGTTTTAATAATAACTCACCGTTTGCAGAGTAGCGTGTGAAAAAATACATTCACAGCATGGATCTGGCCGGACTGGTCAAGACATTAAAGCCTTCCTTTACGCTAGATCTTGGGCTGAAGCAGAGCTCAGTGCGAACCTGCTGGAAGAACAACTACTGGTGTGATGGCCTTAGTCTCACAGGAAGCAACCAGGGCTTTAACACCAGCTCTGCTGTGACTAGATGCTTGGGCTTTGTATGTGGTTATGAGCTACCCGGCCCTTCATGAGATCACCAAAAGCCCCTTTAGGGACTTGGTTGGGTTTTCTTCTCTCACAATATCCAGCATATCCATAACATGTGGTAGATTCCCTCTTAAATGTAAGCCAGTTGTTTTCCTAATGCTATATTCTAGTAAGTCTTGTGGTCTGGACTACTGACCAGACCACAGTAGATCATATCCTATCAATATGATCCCTCCTGGCTTCAAAGTCAGTGAACCTAAGTATATTCAGCTACAAAGCCTCCATTTAAGTATTTTTAATGCTGAATTTAAAAACAATACCCAATTTGAGGTACTTACTGGAAAAAACAGCATGTGTAGGCTGGCTAGCAGTAAGAGAGAATGCTGCAATCCCCTAGCCTTACCTTCACACACAAAAAAAGAAAGGAAGGTCAGATAAGAACAGATAGTATTTTTATAAGGAAAGAAGCTTTGCCATCTCCTAGTCTGCAGCTGCTGCACCAAAATGAGTCATCAAGAGCCTTCAACCATCACAGTTAATGTGGCTTCTCTACTGAGCTGTTGTTTTGATTATTTACTCTGGTTTTCACTCTCACCCCTTTTTTCCTCATCTTGTACAACAAAAACTCCATGCACTTCATGGCTTATGGGGATGTGGAAAAAGATTGGAAAAGGCACTCACAGAATTAGTTTCTAAGCAATTATATATGAATCCCCAGTTTCTGCTCTCATCACAAACTGGGATGCACTTAAGCTTCTAATTGTTCCCTGATTTTCACAGAAAAACTGAGATCCAGATACTTTGCCCATGAAGATCTGACTAGCAGAAATGGGAAATTCAACAGTAAGAACCCAACCTGACCCTTATGGAGGAACACACAGAGTCATATCCCTGCAGGGAACAGAGAGTAGAATTAAACCTGTAACAGTTCTGCAGGACCATCCTCAGGCAAACACTGAATACGATACTAATGCTTTTCAATTACTTGTAGTTTCACCAATATTGAAGAAGCAGGTGCTGAAATCACACCATTTTAATTTAACTGAATGAAGGCTGCTGCCTTTGAACACCAGATACTGCTATGAAGATAAACCATCTAGTTACAGTGCCCTAGCTTCTGGCAAAGGCTGCCAGAATCCCTGGCTTAGGAACCTGCCTCATGGCACTCAGCAGCAAAGCCTTAGTTACACCTCTGCACAGCGTCAGCTTTCCTGCCCTGCTGTGTCGTGCATTGCCTTGCACCCCTGCCACAGCCTGCGTTCAGACCTCCACAAAGCCCGGGCAGCTTGAAATGCCTGAGCATCTCCAGCCACTGCCTGTGAAGAGAGGATGTGTCTGGCAGCAGCAGCCAGGGCAAACAGCAGTGGCTTGTAGGAACCTGGACAGAGCCAGGGCACCACAGGGGCCAAAGTCTCTCGAGTGTATCCAGGTGCCAGCAAAGGATCCTGTACAAGTCTAAAGCAGAAAAGGTGGATTCTGTAGGATTCAGGCTTTGACTTGAAAACATCTCAGCATCCAGAGCTCTGGATGAAGGAGACTTTAAGCAATGTTTTGCACACAAAATATTCACTGTCTGCTGTTGGGATGATTTCCTAATGCCCAGGGATCTAATACAAATTATCACTGTAGTTTCAGATGGAGGCCTTATTCCTCACTTCCAAGTCAAAGCTGGCGAAACACTTTGCTATGCACCCTTAAACAGGTGCCCTATTATGTACCAGAGCTGGCTACATTTTAACGTAGAGGAAATTACTCCTGTTCCCACATAATTTATAAACGACTTCAAGATCAAAGCCATTTCTAAGATGAGGAAAAAAGGTCTCAGTTAGGTTTCATATGGAAAATTGTTTGTTCCATAGCTTAAATGTATAGCTTCTTCCTCTCTTTAAGTTCAGATTTGGAGACAAGTATTGCAAATTTTAGCACAAGACATGTAGACGTTGATGCTTTTGTGGCAAGCTGTTGGACCCAATGAAGCGATGGAATAATCTTGTCCTTCATTTTGAAAAATCATGTTTCTGGTTAATAATAAAAATGAGACCAGCTACACCTAGAAAAGCAGGCAAAAAAGGCAAGGTAAATAAAAAGATACCAAAGTCATTGCATGCATAAGGTCTGATGGTTTGTTCAGGTGAAATGTTCAATTTTGGGCTGACAGAATTGTGGAATTCAGCTGAAAATGTGTATGAACTAATGGACGGAGAAAACATATGCTATCATCTCCTTGCTATACTGAGCACATGCTATCACTATTGATGGCATATCTTATAATTCCTAGAAAGCATAGTTTAGGAGTCAAGAAATTATAATGATAATTTCAGAACAGAGATTTTAGGTCTGTTTGCCTAATTTCTGTATTGTTGTTTACAGGATTTCTATGAAGGTATCTTGAAAGTGCTTGGTGAAGAAGATGAAAATGAACAGGAGGAAGTTAAACTCAAGCAGGGCTTAAGTGAACTCCCTGAAATTTATGAATTACACCAAGACATCCTGGGAGAACTGGAAGAAAGAGTCCTTCAGTGGTAAGTATAGAATGGCATGGTTTGATGGTCTTAACATACCCTCCAGAGCAAGTGGGTGAACTCGTGAGTGTGCCCTTGACCCCACTAGCAGGGAGGCTGGGATTCCAGCAGAGAACTCCCTTGGCAGATTTTGCATACAGGCAGGAAGGAAGTAAATGTAGAGGCTGTCAGACCAAGAAACCAAATGCTGAAACATCTGCCCAGTGCACAACCCAAGACCCCAAAATGGCTCCGTCAGTCAGTGTGAGGACAGCCTGCTTCATATGCATTATTCCCTGACACCAGTTCATAATCATCACCAAGTGGCTTCACATTCATGGCCTGAAGGTCACAGACTCATGCCACAGGAGGCAGGAACAGAAGACATCAGAACTGATCCTAAAGAAGATCAACACGAGCTGGCAGCGTGCGCTTGCAGCCCAAAAAGCCAACTGTATTCTGGGCTGCATCAAAAGAAGTGTGGCCAGCAGGTCGAAGGAGATGATTCTCCCTCTCTGCTCTGCTCTTGTGAGACCTCACCTGCAGTACTGCATTCAGCTGTGGGGTCCCCAACAGAAGGCACATGGACCTGTTGGAGCAGGTCCAGAGGAGAACCACGAAGGTGATCCAAGGGCTGGAGCACCTCTCCTACCAAGAGAGGCGGTTGGGGTTGTTCAGCCTGGAAAAGAGACGTCTCCAGGGAGACCTTCTAGCAGCCTTCCAGTACCTAAAGGGGCTTACAAGAAAGCTGGAGAGGGGCTTTTTACAAGGGCGTGTAGTGATAGGACAAGGGGTAACAGCTTTAAACAGAAAGACGGTAGATTTTGATTGGATCTAAGGAAGAAATTTTTTACAACGAAGGTGGTGAAACACTGGAACAGGTTGCCCAGAGAAGTTGCAGCTGTCTCATCACTGGAAGTGTTCAGGGTCAGATTGGATGGAGCTTTGAGCAACCTGGTGTAGCAGAAGGTGTCCCTGCCCATGGCAGGGGGGCTGGAACTAGATGATCTTTAAGGTCCCTTCCAACCCAAACTATTCTATGATTCTATGATTCTAAGATCATCTGCGTACAGAAATCTGTGTAGCTTGGATAAGGGATACCACTTCGCTCCCAGCACCAAGGCAGGGCTCTGCACAGGTTAGGCTTCCAAGCCAAACAGACGCTGTCAGACTGTTGAGGGACTCCACCTAAGCCAAACGTCCTCACAGGGTGAAGTGTTTCCATGAGAGAGTAAGACCGTGCCTAGGACAGACAAAACTCCAAAATTCATTCATTTAAGGAGACTTGTGACTTAAGCCAGGCTGCTAGGCTAAGAATGTCTAAGAGGAATTAAACTGCAGAGCCAAGCTGACTAAACCTACAGCAGCGAGCGCAGCCCCTGGCCTAGACTGAACTACTCTGGCTCTGACAGCTTATGATGGACCATGCAGCCCCACACTTTCACCCTGATGGGCTCCAGGAGGCCGTGGTCACTGACAGTGGCTGATCCTATCCCAGCACAGCCACTGAGCAACTAAAGAAGTCAGATCAGGCGAACTTTTCAGTAACAATCCTAAATGCAGGGCACAGCTCTCCTTGTCAGCCCTGCACTTTCATATCAAAGCACACAAGAAGGAAAGAAAAGGCTAAAGGGAACTGTATATTGGTTTGTGTCCACCAAGAGACTGTTACAAATGGCAGAAAGACTTAAAAAATTTCATACATTATTTATGATTCATACGCTCCTAATACAAACAGAAGTAGTGTCTCCAGCTGGGATCTAAAATGACTTGTGTCCTACAGAAGTCGCAGCCCTACTCTAGCTGCATGTTACCTGAGACAAAAGGGACACAACTGGAAATGCCCTAAGGTTCTGTCCAGAACTACTCTGTGGCACTGGGGAAAAATGAGGGCTGTACTGCAAACGCTGCCAGCACAACACAATGGCACATGGCATAGGGCTGCACTCATGTGGGTTCCTAGGTCACCACCACCCTTGGACCTTCCAGTAAGTCCTTCCCTGTGCCTGTGCTCCCCTAGACACTCTGTTGCTGTGGGGACTGTTGGACTAGGGTCCCCAACATAAGAAGGACATGGAGCAGGTCCAGAGGAGGGCCACAAAGTTGATCTGAGGGCTGGAGCACCTCTCCTACGAAGACAGGCTTAGAGAGGTGGGTCTGTTCAGCCTGGAAAAGAGAAGGCTCCAGGGAGACCTTCTAGCAGCCTTCCAGTACCTAAAGGGGGCCTACAGGAAAGCTGGAGAGGGACTTTTTACAAGGGCATGTAGTGATAGGACAATGGGCAATGGCTTTAAACAGAAAGAGGGTACATTTCAATTAGATCTAAGGAAGAAATTTTTTACAGTGAAGATGGTGAAACACTGGAACAGGTTTCCCATAGAAGTTGTGGCTATCCCATCCCTGGAAGTGTTCAAGGCCAGGTTGGATGAGGCTTGGAGCAACGTGGTGTAGTGAAAGGTGTCCCTGCCCATGTCAGCGGGGTTGGAACTAGATGATCTTTGAGATCCTTTCCAGCCCAAACCGTTTTATGATTCTAATCATAGGAACTCATGTTCCTCTCTTAACTATGATTACTCTTTTGCTATCTCAGATTTTGTCCTTGTACATGCTTCATAAATATTTCAATATTGTGCTACTGGGTACTGAGACAGATGACGGTGGGGCAATGCTGAAAAGGGAGCAATGAAGGAGAGGTGAAAATATGATGTTACAACTGCAGATGTTGTATTATCTCCCAGAACCAGTGCTCAAAGTATTGCAGCAGCTGGAAGGTCTGTTTAGAGAAGCGGAAGCTGTGTCCAGAAAGGAGACATTCTGCCCACTATGGACACACAGTGCTGCCATGGCAAAGGCACAGCTGAGCAACCAGCCCCTCATGGTGCCCCTTCTACAGCAGCCCATTTTGTTGTCCAGTATATCAGTGAAGCACTCCCTCTTTCCTGCTATTTTACCTAGGCTTTAGGTCCACAATGTCCTTAGCCATTGTGGGTCTAATACAATGAGAAAGAAGTATGGCTCCTCTTCTTTAATTTTTATTTATTTGCTGCTTCTTTTCTTTCTGTGGCCTTAGGGAGGAACAACAGAAAGTTGCTGATATTTTTCTCTCCAGAAAATCAAGGCTGAATCACCACACAGCATACATTATGCAGTTTGATAGGAATTTGGCTTTGCTAGATGAATCCTGCCTTAAATATTCCCAACTGGCTACCGTAATTCAGGAGTTTGAGGTAAGGCTCCCATGGTTTTTTACCTGCACTAACGCATGGCTGTGCCACAGGACTTACTCAAAAATAATTTTTCTTCAACTCCACCAGTGTTCATATAGGGCAGAATGGGAGAATAGCTCTCTTCACACATCCTGGTGCTAAAACTGAAGTGAGATGTTCACATGTGCATGATGTGTTTCTGTTTCTGTGTCCGTGTCTGTTGTCCACACTCCCCTGTGTTTGCATACAAAACGTATGTTTGTGAACCTACATCTATCTGTGAGTATATTTCGCTGAAATATATGCACACAGTGGAGTAGTTTCTCAGTCATAGCTCTTTGAGGATGTATTAGAGTTAATAACTATTATTATTAACCAGGCCTGGAAGTGTTCAAGGCCAGGTTGGATGGGGTTTTGAGCAATTTGGTCTAGTTGAAGGTGTCCCTGCCCATGGCAGGGGGGTTGTAACTAGATGATCTTTAAGGTCCCTTCCAACCCAAACCATTCTATGATTATTACTCATATCTTCCCTTCTTTCATTGCATTTTCCATCATTTCTTTTGTTCTGGGTCTGGCCAGGATGAAGGTAGGGCCAGCCTGTATAGGTGCTTAGCTGCTGGCAGCGATCAACCCACTACATCTTTACAATGGCATTTCTATGTGTTTTTAAACACCTGTTAACTGTTTCCTCTGTTTACAGAGGATGTTGTGACAGGCAACACTGAACTGCACAGGAAGACACAAACTCCACTGGCCAGACACATACAGGGTTCTTTTCATCTAGACTCCCTGAATGATCTGTAACTTCTAGGCCTGTAACCTCTGGCCCTGTAGCAAGAAACACTTAGTTTCCAGTTGTGTTAACTCACTCATCTATGCTGAGTAACTGAAAACCACCACCAAGACACGTGACAGAAATTCCATGATTCCTGATTATATTTTAAAGTATTGGCAATGTGGCCACTTCACATAATTTCAAAAGCATAAACCCGTAAGTGAATGGGAAAGTTCAGTTGAACTACACTGACTCTCTTGAGCTAAAATGGTTAAAAGATCTGTTGCTTTATTGTAGGTTTCTTATTGTCTCTATCTGATAAGAGAACAATGTTTATTTGAGTAAGAGAGGGGTTATAAGGATAAATTAGTGATCAGACCAGCTCTATGGGGTATGGATTGTGTTTTTCTCTGCAGCACATGTGAAATATTAAGGATAACAATTCAAAATGCATTTGGAAGTCAGCATTTACAGTTACCTTGCAGTCACCACAATTATTTCCTGTTAGCAGCTGAGGGGAGCTCTGATGGCTCACACTGCTCTGAACATGAACTTGGCAAAGAGCCTGTATTCACAGCATCCCTCCCAGCCACATGCCTATACACTTCTGTCCTAACTGTCAACTCTAGGAATTAGCTCTTTTTTCAGAGAAAGCAGATGAGGCTTTTCCTATGATGAGATCAGCAGGATTTTGCCCTAGAATCAGTGAGTTCTCGAACTTCTTGCCCTCTTGATGCATACACACACCTCACAAATGAGGGTGAGGTGTCTCTCAGTCCTTTCCTATTGCATTTTTTTAAAGCATGACCATTATTAGCTTTACAGTCTAACAAAACAGAATGTAGGGCCTCATCTTATGTTTCTGGCACCCTTTGACTTGCATATAGGGGACTGGGAACGCTCAGCACAACCCTGAATGGACATTTGGTGAGAGTAGTCAGCCAGTTAAAGGAGTTATACAGTAACATAAAATATCTCTACTGCTTTGGAAAATACTGTCTCTTGCCAGCCTTCCTTTAAACAGTTAGATCCCTATTTTCCTTTTGTCCCTTCACAAGTGGCAAACACTTCAGAAATGTTGGTCAAAGAACACTGAAACCCCATGAAACTTGACTGAATTTTGGACTCAGACCTTGTAAGGAACCAGCTGGGTTTTGTGCCACTCCTCTCAGGTCCTGTAAGCTTCTGTTTCTTAGTGCCTCTGGAGATGTGAAGACTTCTAAGGATTGAGTTTTGTGGCTCTGCTTGTTTTTGCAGCAATGTTGTGACACTTAACAGATACCCGGCAAGTTTCCTATTTTAATTGAGCCCTTATAGAATAGAATCATTTAGGTTAGAAAAGACCCTTAAGATAATCATGGCCAACCGCAAATCTAACACTGACACTAAACCATGTCCTTAAGTGCCGTGTCTTTTAAATACCTCCAGGGATGGTGACACAACCACTTCCCTGGGCAGCCTGTTCCAGAGCTTGATAACCCTTTCAGTGAATAAATTTTTCCTAATATCTAATCTCAACCTCCCCTAGCACAACTTGAGGCCGTTTCCTCTCATCCTATCACTTGTCACCTGGGAAGAGAGACCAACACCCACCTTGCTACAACCTCCTCTCCTCCAGGCTAAAGCACTCCAGTTCCCTCAGCCGCTCCTCATAAGACTTGTGCTTCAGACCCTTCACCAGCTTTGTTGCCCTTCTTTGGACACACTCCAGCACCTCAATGTCTTTCTTGTAGCAAGGGACCCAAAACCGAACACAGTTTTCCAGATAGCAGCCTCACCAGTGCCAAGGACAGGGGACAATCACTTCTCTAGTCCTGCTGGCCACACTATTTCTGATACAAGCCAGGATGCTCTTGGCCTCCTTGGCCACCTGGGCACACTGCTGACTCATACTCAGCCAGCTGTTGACCAACACCCCCAGGTCCTTTTCCACCAGGCAGCTTTCCAGCCACTCTTCCCCAGGCCTGTAGTGTTGCATGGGGTTGTGGTGACTCAAGTGCAGGACCCGGCACAGCCTTGTTGAACCTCACACGGTTGGCCTTGGCCCACCGATCCAGCCAGCCCAGATCCCTCTGTAGATCCTTCCTACCCTAAAGCAGATCAACACTCCTGCCCAACTTGGTGTCATCTGCAAACTTAACTGAGGGTGCACTTGATCCCCTCATCCAGATCGTTGATATAGATATTAAACAGAACTGGCCCCAGTGCAGAGCCCTGGGGAGCACCACTTGTGACCGGCCACCAACTGGATTGAACTCCATTCACCACAACTCTTTAGGCCCAACCATCCAGCTAGTTTTTTACCCAACAAAGAGTATGCCCATCCAAGCCATGAGCAGCCAGTTTCTCCAGGAGAATGCTGTGAGAAATGGTGTCAAAAGCTTTACTAAAGTCCAGCTAAACAACATCCACAGCCTTTCCCTCGTCCACTAAGTGGGTCACTTTGCCATAGAAGGAGATCAGGTTAGTCAAGCAGGACCTGCCTTTCATAAACCCATGCTGACTGGGCCTGATATGAGGCAGCATGCAATGGGTCAAACCTAAAGGGTAAAGGTAATGAGAAAAATGCTACTTCTTTTCCATGTGTGTGTTAAATTAGATCACAACCTCACTTTATTTTCTTGTAAACATTCTGGACAGTCAGTTCCAAGTCAATCACAGGGAGGTGCTTTGCTGTGTTTTGCTCAATCCCATGTCTTGAAATAAGATACTAAAAAGTTGCAGGCAGAAGAAATTTGCAGTCCAAAAAAGGAACAACAATGACAAACTTCACTGAGGTCTGACACCTCTGTCTTCAGATGCCACCCTAAAATCTTTATCTTCACTTTCCTTCCTTTGCCTTCTGAGTCCCAACTATTTGTGAATGATGCCACAGGAATTAAACTATTTACAGTACTTTATAGTCACAAAGACAGTGCCCCCTAGCAAGCTGGGTAAACTGGGAATAGTTCAATGGAATTTGTGCATGCAACTGGTAGAAAATTTTTTAGTACACATCAGCTGGAGATGACAATTCACTGCTGAGCTGACACATCCCTGATCTTTGTGTTTCCTTTCCCTTCCATTGAGGACAGCAGAGCTGTGGTGGCAGCCCTCAGAGTGTGAAACACCAGCTTTTGAAAGTGGTGCAGCGTGTCTTCCAGTATCGTGTGCTGCTCACAGGTCAGTAAAATCACTCTCAAAGGTACTCAGTGGAAACCCTCTCATGATGTTCTGTGCCTCGACTGCACCACACGTTGACACCAAGACAGCTAAAATAGGGCTGAAGCAGTGTGGGATTTCCTGGGAACTTCAATATGCTTAGTACAGGATTCAGGAAATGTCAGGGAGCCTGGGAACGAGCAGACACTTCTTCAGCACAACCATGCTGAAAGGTCACAAAAAACACGTAAAGTCAGGTGCTTTTAGCCATTCATTCTTGGCTTTTTCCTTCTGTGAATTAAGAGAGGCAGAGTTCAGCCTCATTGCCAGCAAACATGTTTGATTTTATTTATGTCAAGGGCAATTATCAGAGACAGTAGTCCCCAGCAAGGGGACTCTGCACCACATCCTGTATGACAGTGGCAAGCATCATCTCCTTCTACTCCATTAACAAAGCAGTTGCATCCAGTACAGCACTCTAAGCCCTACGTATAGTACACCTAAGGCTAGTAATAAGTCTAAGTCAAAATCCCAGTCCAATTTCTCTGCATTGTAGGAGGCAGAGGTCCAAATTTACATTACTAGTACATTTACAGATTTTACATTTACAGTAACACCTTCCCTTTACATTCAGGATCATATATATCACTCCCACCTAGAATCTCTCCAGGGGGGTTTGTGTTCTCTCTGGTGGCTCATTCTCTGCAAGCCACAGCAAATCTAGGAAGTCTGAGCCTGTGAGGTGAGCAAGCTTTCTGGAGCAGGTTGTGGCCCCCAGAAATAATTATGAAGTTTACGTTTGTAACTAATGAACTGGTTGGGGAAGGAAATAGTGAAATGTAACCATGAATCTCAGTGTTGTCAAGTAATTTAGTCAGATCAGAACACAAAAGAGCAAGGATCATAGACATAAAGATGGAGAAATGCTTTGGGAATATGTATATATGTGGGTGGAGATGGATGCAAGATGAGTTATGCGTGGGACAGTAAAAAGGAAGCCATAAACCCAACCCATAATCAACAGCTGAAGAAGAGCACAGCATATTGGAAGGGACTCCAATAAATGCAGCAGAACAAAGTGACCATATGAAGTCTATTCACAGCACAGATTAGCAGCAGTTTCATCTTGCTCCAGACACTTCGATCAAGGATGCAACTCATTATTCACAGCTGGTTTTGCTTTTTTAGTACAAGCAATACAAATGAACACCAGATTCCAATAGTAGGACTTTTTTTCTATCTGACTTGCTTCCCTCTCTGGAGTGTCTGCGTTAAGGGGTGCTTTTCCATACTTGTTAGTTGCACTACTTAGTAATCTCACATGATCCTTACAGTGTTTTTAGAGCATGCATACAAATACTGCATCTAAGAAAAAGGACTTGGCATGTCCCTGTCAGAAATACCCCCACTACGTTCCACTTTCTCTGCCCATTTCTGTGGTCCACACGGGTGGGTCTGGAACAGTGCAGTCCTTCAGATTCTCTAGAGAGTGTAAAAAAACCTTAAAATATGCAGGTGTACTTGTGTGTTCATAACTGCCTGTTTCTACAAGATAAGGCAGGGCATTTTCTGAGGATATTGGTTGCCAATTGCTGCACTACAGCCAAAAAGAGTTGCCCACTCAGTTAAATGTCTGTAGCCAAGGACAGAGCTTGCAGCTGTGAAAAGGAATGCTAAATGTTGCCTGATCACACAGCACAACCCCTTCTTGCCTGAGTGAGTACAGGCGGATGCTTCCCTGAACGCATGTTAAAAGCCAGGTAGGTTTCGAGGCGCCAGGGAGGGCACAGCACTAGAAAGAGAAACGTGTAAGGACAGGAGGTTCAGGGGAACACATATCCACGCACGGCACCATTCTCAGCACGCGGGCCTAGTTCTGCCCAGGCAGAATTTAGTACCCTAAATAGAAAGATAAGAATGACGTATTTCAGGATTAGGCTTTTAAAATGGTGGCACTCATATCCTATAGTCATTAAAAGTATAAGGACTCAGACAAAGAACAGATAGATGATCCAAGGCAAGCAGCCCAAATAAAACCGACAGGTTCAAGGTTTGTATATAATGCGAATATAATTCCTGCAAATGTAAGTCATATTGTGTGTATTTTACAGAACCTATTTTCAGAATGTGATTGAGTTCGGTAGTAATCATTGAACTCTGCATTTGCAGAACCAGAGTCTCCTTCCTGTGTCTACAAAATGTATATAAATCATTTACTATTAATATAGAAAATCAGTCATTACAGCCAACACCATTCATTCAGATGGGAAAACAGAATTCACTGGAAGAACAATTATTTGTAAAGTGGTGCTACTCAGCAGTTCTCTTGGCTGAGACACAAGGAAATATTTTTGTCACTCCCTGTTTATTCATTCACATCTGCCAAATTATGTGATGAATCCAAATCTGTACCAATGCTCTTGCATTCTCAAAGCAGAATGCGGTCAAAGATAAGTTTTGCTTTGGAAAGAGGCTATATACACTTAATTATTTGAGAATAAAGTGATATGGGACATTACTGTGGATGCCCCATCCCTGGAAGTGTTCAAAGTCAGGGGCTTTGAGCAACCCGGTGTAGTGGAAGGTGTCCCTGCCCATGGCAGGGGGGTTGGACTAGATGATCTTTAAGGTCCCTTCCAACCCAAACCATTCTATGATTAGGATTTTATATTTTAGCTAATAACACTACAAATTATGTGGATCTGTATTCTAATTACTGGATGTCTGTGTGTGTTTGATTGTTTTCTACAGATTACTTGAATAATCTTTGCCCTGATTCTACAGAGTATGAAGCCACACAAGGTAAAATGAAATGGGTAGAACCAAAATTCTGCATTGCTAACTCTTGCTTCTAAGGAGGTAAAGGATCTATACTGGTAGTATAGATCTATACTGGAAGAGGATTATTTTCACGATTTTGTGTTAATACGTTAGATGTAAGATCTGTAAGAACAGATTACTAATTTAGACAAATTATTTAGGGCAAGAACCCTATCTTTTTTCACTGAAACATATGGGCTTCCTATAGTTTTGACACAATGAAATTACAGAAGAAGAAATTACCATCTATACAAGCGTGGTGCAGATATTGTAGTTCTGCTCCAGTCCTAGTCCTCTTTGGCTCCATTCATATTTGAGCTGTTCATTGTAAAGTCAATTGAGATGGCTCCACGTGCTTGTTTGTGTACCATTATTGTGCACTCAGTGTTTGCTGGCAAGTGCTCTAGCCACTGACCAAGTCACAGAAGGAGAAGGCAGAGACTGGGAGAATGAAGAACCACCCACTGTAGAAGATCAATTTTGAGACCATCTAAGGAACCTGAAGGTGCACAGGTCCATCGGACCTGATGAGATGCATCCGCGGGTCCTGAGGGAACTGGCAGATGAAGTTGCTAAGCCATTATCCATCGTATTTGAGCAGTCATGGCAGTCTGGTGAAGATCCCACCACCTCGAAAAAGGAAAACACAGCCCCCATTTTTAAAAAGAGAAAAAATGAAGACCCAGGGAACTACAGGCCAGTCAGTCTCATCTCTGTGCCTGGCAAGATTGTGGAGAAGATGCTCCTCGAAACTATGCTAAGGCATATAGGAAAAAAGGAGGTCACTGGTGATGGCCAACATGGCTTCACTAAGGGCAAACTGTGCCTGACAGATTTGGTAGCCTTCTATGATGGGGTTGCAGCATTGGTGGATACGGAAAGAGCAACTGGCGTCACCTACCTGGCCTTGTGCAAAGCATTTGACACTGTCCCACACAACATCCTTGTCTCTAAGTTGGAGATACATGAATTTGATGGATGGACCACTTAGTGGATAAGGAACTGTCTGGATGGTCGCACTCAAAGAGTTGCAGTCAATGGCTCAATGTCCAAGAGGAGACCAGTGACAAGTGATGCTCCTCAGGGGTCAATATTGGGACTGGCGCTGTTCAACATCTTTGTCGGTGACATGCACACAACATCCTTGTCTCTAAGTTGGAGATACATGAATTTGATGGATGGACCACTTAGTGGATAAGGAACTGTCTGGATGGTCGCACTCAAAGAGTTGCAGTCAATGGCTCAATGTCCAAGAGGAGACCAGTGACAAGTGATGCTCCTCAGGGGTCAATATTGGGACTGGCGCTGTTCAACATCTTTGTCGGTGACATGGACAGGGGATTGAGTGCACCCTCAGCAGATTTGCTGACAACACCAAGCTGTGCAGAGTGGTCAATGAGCTGGAGGGAAGGGATGCCATCCAGAGGGACCTGGACAGGCTGCAGAGGCAGGCCCATGCAAACCTGATGAAGTTCAATAAGGCCAAGTGTGAGGTCCTGCACATGGGTCGGGGTAATCCCAAACACAAATACAGGCTGGGCAGAGAATGGATTGAAAGCAGCTCTGAGGACAAGGACTTGGGAGTGTTGGTTGATGAGAAGGTCAATGTGATCCAGCAGTGTGTGCTTGCAGCCCAGAAAGCCAACCGTATCCTGGGCTGCATCAAAAGAAGTGTGACCATCAGGTCAAGGGAGATGATTCTCCCTCTCTACTCTACTCTTGGGAGACCCCATCTGCAGTACTGCATTCAGCTGTGGGGTCCCCAACAGAAGGGACACGGACCTGTTGAGCAGGTCCAGAGGAGATCTGCAAAGGTGATCCGATGGCTGGAGCACATCTCCTATGAAGACAGGCAGTTGGGGTTGTTCAGCCTAGAGAAGAGACATCTCCAGGGAGACCTTTTAGCAGCCTTCCAGTACCTAAAAGGGGGCCTACAAGAAAGCTGAAGAGGGACTTTTTACAAGGGTAGTGACGGGACAAGGGGCAATGGATTTAAACTGAAAGAGGGGAGATTTAGGTTGGGTATAAAGAGGAAATTCTTCACTCTGAGGGTAGTGAGGCACTGAACAGGTTTCCCAGAGAAGCTGTGGATGCCCCATCCCTGCAAGTGTTCAGGGCCAGGTTGGATGGGACTTTGAGCAACCTGATTTAGTAGAAGGTGTCCCTCCCCATGGCAGGAGGACTTGGAACTAGATGATCTTCGAGGTCCCTTCCAACCCAACCTATTCTACGATTCTGAGTTTATCTATGGTATGCCTGCTGTGCTCTGTGAACTTTGGAGAAACTCAGGTTTGAATCGTATATCTGTATTCCTTTAGCCTAAGTAAACTTGAAAGACATTGCATAAAAATCAGTTCTTCACAATAAAGAACAAACCCAGATGTTCAGTTGCTAACACCATCCTTTCATACACATCAGATGGATAAAGCAGAATTCGCTTACTCTCACTGAAGTCAAAGCAAGGATTAGCTGTGGCCTCCTGGGAGCAGCTTCCAAGTTGGAACAAGCAGGAATAGCTTTGTATTAATGAAACCAGTTCATCGCTCTGTTACACTGAGTGTAAATCCAAACCAACTCGCAGCAATAATGTCTGTGACTGACTGCATGTCAGTCTGTTCTGATGAAGAGTAGAGTGTTGTGCAAGATTCAGGACCCTAGTCACTGACAGTGGGGCTAGAGCTATACCAGTGATTTAAACAAGGCCAGGGAAGACACTCAAGCCCTGTAGCCACGGTTGCCTGTCTTGGTTCTGGTTAGCACATGCTTGTCACATTTCTGGCCTGCGATGGCTAGCGTGCTCCCGGATTATGCCTAGAAACAGAGAGGATGCTCTGTTCCACAGAGGAAGGGATCTGAGATAAGGACCTGAACCATGTTATGCCACTGGTCTCGGGGCCAGCAAGCATGCCCTGGCCCAGGTTATTTGCCAGCGGAGAATCCAAGTGTTGATTCAAGTCACCACTTCATACACACTTCTGTCAGAAAGGGATGACCTGGCCTCTCCCTCAGAAATAAAGGGAAACAGATCACCTTAGATGGCCATGCTTTTGGATGGCTAAAGGTCGGTTACCTTAATCTCTCCCTACCACAAACTCCAATTGTCAAAATCTGCAACTAGAAAACATCATAAAAAGATTTCGTGCCATGTTAGGTGCTTAAAAGGGACCTCACGAGCTCTCTTGGTTAGCACAAGTATGAGGCAGAGTTTCCCACAGGAGAATGATGAACGGGAGGGGAACTGACAGCACTGTGCTGTGTCTTAAGTTTGCTGGGCAGTTGCATTTGGAAGGTGCCAAAGAAGTTAAAGGAGCTGCTGCTGAGGATGTTGTTTGCTTTTTTTAAAGATGCCCTTGCAAACAGAAGGGATTTGTGTTATTTTCCTACTCTTTTTTGTGATTTATGGTGTTCGTTTTGCTTCATTCCTCAGCTGCCTTATTCATTGTTTCTGAAATCACAGACCGAGCCAATGACAGCATGCTGCAAGCGGTGAGTCCTACCATGACACATGCTCTCCTGATCGATAGTGTCTTTTCTGCACATCAGCTGAAGTGAATGCCTATCTCTGCTAAATTTTGAAGCGTCCTCCAGGGTGAGACTCAAGGGTTTACAATATTGCAGATATGGAGTAGGTCTATGCCCTTTAATGCAGCTGTGCAAGATGTAAATCACTGTAGAAAGCAGCATAAAGTTTTTTTCCCTCTTGGGTTGCTGAAATGGTATGTGGAGCAACAAAGAGAGACATGATTCTGTTTCTAGCCTGGGATGTTGTTAGATATGAAATGTTGGAGAAATCACAAATGTACTGTCAAAGATAAATTTTGAGCTCATTTACACAATTCTTCCACAGTTCTGGAATCCCATTTTACTTCAGAAGAATAGGTCATAGTTTACAGTCTTGCAAATGATCACACAATGAAACAGACTAGCCAAGGCTTTCATAGGTTGGAGTTCATGTCTAAATTCAGATTTAGGTATCTTAAGTAAGTTACATAGTTTTCCAAAGTCATCAACAGTTTCTGTGAGGTCAGTGTGATTTATTAATATTGCTTACATGATATTAGAGTCCTAATTTACTGACAAAGATAGCCTGCATATAGCTGGTCTTATGACCATTTGTTTCCAAGGATCTAGGTTTGATTTTCATTCAAGATGATAGGAGTTTTCTATTGACATCAGTAAGAAGCAGTGTTGGGAAGCATAAGAGGCAGCAGAAAGACTATCAGACACAGGATCCAGCAGGTTCCAGGGGAATTCAACTTGGACCTCCGGGTAATAACTAAAGGCAATGCCTTTCTTTTTGTCATACTAGCCACGCACATCTTGCAGCTAAATTCTCTCCTGAGGTCCACGTTGGCTTTAGCAGACCTAGCATTCAGCTCAAGTAGGTAGAAAGAAGTACCTACGATCTTTGCAGTCTAATGAAATGTTGCTAAGTAGGTAGTTTCAGAGTCATTCTATAGATTAGCCACATTACAATTTTTTTAATAATAAAACTCTATGCTTGTTAGACTTAGAAAATAGTCATAATAGAGACCAAAATTTCAAAAATGCCATTTTTAAGCACTTTTCAAGGCATTTAGATTACCAAGGAGTGCGTGCAGTTGCTAAGGAAGACAGTTTGTGTTCAACAGCATGCATGTTAGAGAACAAAGCACCTCATTCCAGGCATCCTGCATTTTATCCAATACCGAGTGGTTACACTGAAGTGCTTCTTTCTCATCTTAAGTATTTTACCATTGCATTGGGTCACAGGGATTTCAATTGATTGTGAATGTGGCATATCTTTTGGGAAGCCTTCACATTTTATTTCTCATTTGAACATTGCTGAATTTAACATCCGGCATTGGGATTTTGCTGTGCCTTTGGTAAATTAAAGATCTCTTTGGCATTGCAAACATCCTTCCCTATGTTTAATTACAGATGGCATTCGATTCACTTCTTTATTATTTCACATACTGAGCAGAGAGAGGGTTGTTAATCACTCGGGCACCAAAACACAAAATTCAAGAGACAAAGAGAAAAAACACCTCGGCATCAATGCAGACAAAAGAAGAAGAAACAAAATGTCAACCCTTCTTAGTAAGAGCTTGTTTTCAGGTAGGATTTTAAGGTTGAAAGAATGAATGCACAGGAATTGTTAGTGAAAGACTCGTGCTGGAGGCCACTACCGCTACACACCAGCACTGCTGACTCAGCATATTCGCTTTAATGCCTTTGCCCTCTGCCTGCAGGGGAGTGGAAGCACTTGGTGAAGCAGTGAATTCAGACTGTGTGACATGGTAAAAACACAGTAGAACAACTAGATGAAGGATGTTTTTTGCAGTTGCTTGGGAGTTAAGAATGAGAGGGTCTCAAAACCCAAGGTGCCCTTCATCTTTTAAAATTGAAGCTTTCATGCTTTGTTCAGAGAAGTGGAAGCATCTGCTTGCAACAAATGAACCCAAGAGCCAAGAATGTCAACTTTTGCTCCCATCTGGAAATCTCTGCTGCTCAGGTTTAAAAGTTTCTCATAAGTGTGCCAAGGTCATAAATGGAGCCCATGTGTTCATTGGCTGTATCAGAGCACCAAGTTCAGTGATGATCTCCTCATGGTCAGCAACAGACAAAACCCAAGCCTTCTAATATTTGCATCAGAAAGGGATAAATTGTAGTTGAAACTATTTCCTGCATAGAGAAACCTATCTTCATGGATCTGCCTCCTTCTCCGTCTGATAGCTAGAAATTGAGACTGAGGCTCTGAACCTGCTTCTCCTGAAGCCAGGGGTAAAATTACCACAGATCACCATGAAGTCCAATTGGTGGGTTTTTGGTTTTGTGCAGAGATGATCTAAAGCCATGACAACAGATCAAGATTTTGAATATTCTAAAGTTAAAGTTTTTTTAGGGTCAAAATTCAAAATTCGGATCTGCGTTTTCACTAAATGCAAACTTTAAAAAGTTTGGACTCATTGATTTGGTTTGAGTCAATTTCTGCTTTTCTGCTCCAAGCTTTTCCACCCCCAACACTATCCTGGCATGTCTACCTCACAACACATTCCCCCTTCATACAATAACATCAGCCCATTTGCTGTGCTGCTGCTGCTCTGTGACAACCTAAGACCTTCAAACCTTAATTTTAAAGACAGTATTTTTTTCACTCCTCCGGATTGCTAAGGAAAAGTTCCAAACATGAATTATTATTGCACACTCTACTTGAGTAAGCAGACACCTTTGCTGAGTGTAAACTATCAATCAGCTACACTGATCTCTTTGGTTGCTTATTCTCAGCTTTATTTCAAGATACTTTTGGTATCAGCACAAACTATTTTGTCATCAGTCATTATAGTAGATAGGATGGGGACAAATGTTGGGAGGGAAGTCTTTGTAGATGAAACAGTAGTTGCATTACAGCCAAAAGTAATGGTGAAGGAGCAGAAGGAAAGGAGAGAGAAAGCAGCATAACAGACGTGCAAGACGCATGGAAACAGTGATGCTCACACAGACTAATTCTGAGAGATGTTCAACACTGACAGCAATAACCAGTAGTTAATTACTACATAAACACTATTCGGGTACCAAGACAAAAGCACAGATGTAGATTGGAGAAGGATGTGGTCTAACAAACCTAGAGTTTTATCATAAATAGAAATGTAATCTGGCCACTCTACAGAATGACTCTGAAACTACAGACTTGCTGAGCAAAGTTTTTAACTGGTTTGATTCTGATTTTCTTTTTCCTCAGGCAGAAAATTTATAATCATATTTTTCCATTATTAAAGCAGTCTTTGTAGAAAAATAATAAATATTTCATTATAAAACTGAGATCTCAGGAAAAGCTTCCACAGTAATCTCAGAGCTTTAGGGATACCTGTATTAGAGGCCAAGAACTGTAAGAGCTGAGTTCCTAACAGATCGAGGTCACACATCTTTTTCTAGCACCTGTATTTCCTTAGATTAAACTCAGATTTATGGGACATTTTTATGAATGCTTTTCTGAAGTTAGAAGTATACATAATTGGCCAAAATAAAATTTGCTGTGTTGCATTACCATGCAATGTTTTTATCTCCACTAAGCCACACTTTAATTTGAAGAACATCACCATATCGTCTGAATTTTACAGATGTCACAGACTGTATCATAATTGGTATTAATAATGTCTGTTTTGGAACAATTCCATTGCAAATTCCAAATAGATTTTTACACTTCATTTTTTATCATATCATCAGCGCATGTCTGCTCTTTTTCAAAACTGTGGCCTGGAAGAGATGAAACAAAATTTCCTTCTTTCCCATCTGTGTGAATGCTGTGGGTTTTGTGAAGGTGCAGGTTCATGAGAATCAAGGTTCAATACTCTGCTAAACCAGAAGCTGTCCTCCTGTATTAATATCCCATCCACAAAAGCCACAACCAGCAGTTCTTTTCTTTCTCTCAGATTTTAAAAAATGCAAAGAATTTAAGAAGCTACTCTAATTACAAAACAAATTGAACAACACTACTCAAGGTAATGATTTGTACCTGGCTGAAGTTCTAGGCGATAATTTAGACTTGGCATGAACCTGGAAGGGGGAAGATTTCTGCTGCTGCTTATCAACTCATCAAACTACACTCCAAAAAGCTGACAGGAACATTGAATTATTACCTACATTTTCTGCAGAATATCAAGGATTCATTATTAGCTTTTTTGTTTTATGATAATAACAATCTAGCAGTTTTTCCCTTGGGAACTATTAAGCCAGGATTTTCAGACACATTATGACATTAACTATCTCCACAGCATTTTCATCAAGTAGGAAAATATTATTCACCATTTACAGACATGCAGGCAGAAGCATAAGGCATACCATCACCACATAGCATTAAGTCTATCTGTAATTCTAGGAAACATTCACTACTTGAATCAAGCAGGGTTTGTACTGCTCTCTGAACTTCTACAATCTGTTAGAGGCCCTGAGATGCTAAGAGCCATAAATCATTGTTGCTATTAACAGCTGGTGAATTCCTTGAGGAAGAATTACTTTTGCATAGACATAATGATAATATGATGGAAGCTGCAGTTCACTGCTAAAACGGCCAAAGAAGGATTTCAGCCACCCACATCTGCAGTACTAGTTGAGTGGAGCTTTGTTTTTATTTTTAATCATAGCTTGTGAAGGATATTTGAAAGAAGAATGATGACAGTTTTGAGGAGAATGAAGAAAACTGTATAAACAGGGAATTTTAGGGGAACTGTAGGGAACCCTCAGCTGCCCACATTCTCAGATAAATCACTGTCCTTCACATGTGATGGCAGTTTACCTTCCTACAGGAAATGTGTTTGATACATCTCTGTCCATTTCCTGGTGAACATGTGTCCATATTGCAAACATCAGCATTACAACAGGCGCCTCTGCCAGCAGTCCTAAGGAAAAGCTGAGGTGTATCTGATTTGCTTCAACTCCTCTCACTCTTGTGGAAACCCCAATGAGTAGTACTAGCATTGGCCATCAGTGTGCTCACAGGAGGGCACTGCCTTTTCTGCGGATGAAGAATGGGTTTCCATTGTTGAAGCTGTGAATTGGACAAGTTTTGCTAGGGCTGAAATCCCCTTTAGTGATGGGAAAGTCCTTTGCAAATGTCAGCTGTCCTATGATCCCTGGTGTTTCCTGTGCTATTAGTTTATACATTCTGTTACCATTTTGCTGGCCTATAATATTTTAGAAGTGATCTGAAAAATTCTGATTGTTACTTCCTGGATTGCAAAAGAGATACCTGACAGCTGAAAGTCTTGAAAATGTGTCAGCTGCCAGTTACATTGCATGGTCACAATGCAGCCCTGTGCTTAAGGCTTGTAGGTGTTTCCATATGTTTGAAATGCTGTTACTGATTAAGAACTAAACTTAGTATAATGCTAAACAAGCGTAATGTTCCACCAGGGCAGTAACATATGGAGGTATTTCACGCTTATCTCAAAAAGCAAGCTGCGATAGGTACAATAATTGTGATAGCTGAAATCCAGGGTAAATTAGCCTTGACAGACCATCATGTTGACATGGATATGCTCCTGGTATCTGTGATAGCTTTCTTAATTAGCTGATTCCATAGACAGCACTGATTTGTATCAGGCAGATACACTGTACAATCTAATTGAGTCTAACTAAGCCCAGGAGTATCTTAATGCCAGTCAATGGAGTACAGGAAAACAGACTGTTATCTGTCATAGCAGAAAACTGTATTCAAAGGCTCCCAGCTCATGAAGCTGTATCAAATATGGACCTTAGTCTGTACTTTTGAGTATGTGAGGATTTAGGATACAATGGCTAACTTAGACAAGAGACTAAGTTTTAGATATATTCCTATGATGACTTATTGCTGCTGTGCAGCCCGTTCTGTTATTCTGACTAGATAAAACCACAGTTGAATCCTATGTACAAGCTTTGGTTTTAGCAGCCTCACCTGCTAAATGGAAGGAGATTTGAAAAGACTCTAGCAATATTACAAAGGTACAGACATCCCTTCTTCTGCCTTTGTATATTCATCCAATACCATCTTCTTCTATGAGAGCGCAGGCTTAGCTAGATTAATTTACCATCTTCATAGATAAGTTCATGTCACAGGCCAGTGCCCACTGACTGACTGTGCTTTAAGGCCAGGTAGCCAGCTAATAGTATCAGAGTTTGATAATTAACTTCCTGATCTTTGTAAAGCATCAAAAGAGAGATGCTGCCTCATTGCCTGCTTACTGGTTAACCTTCTAAATCTCCTATTGCAAAGCCATTCATCTGTTATCACAGAATATAAACCTCCAGATAATCCTAGCAACAGTCTGACAATATCAAAGCATGCTTTGGATTATCCATGTCATGCCACTAATGCACAGGTCTCTGGAGCAGATACTGTACTTTGTCTCTACCGTATGGAGTTAGCAGGCCCTTCTGAAGGTGAACTGAGGTATCAGAGGTAACAGGAGTGTAGAAGACCACAGTAGAGATGAATGCAGGTGATGAGGTTTTATAAAACTTGCAAGGCTAGAAGACTTTCTGGGTGTAAAATCCCTGGGCTCAGTTCTCTCTGAAACCTAATTCTGTAATACCACTTTTAGAGAAATAAAATGATGAGGAGGGGTGAGAGAATGTTTGCCTGCTTGTCTAAAGAAGCATAACCATGCAGTCTCCTAAACACTGTTTCTCTCCTCTAGGAAAACTTGCAGAAGCTGGTACACATTGAGCACAGTGTGAGAGGGCAGAGTGGCCTCCTCCAGCCAGGAAGGGTGAGTGCTGCAGGCAGACCTATGCTGATAAGAGCATTGTTTCCAGCCAGCTGTATCTCTGATGGTGTGGATGGCCAGATTTCAGACGTCTACAGGTGTTGTTTACTGAGCTACTGTGATAAGAGTTAGACCACTGGTTTGTGTAAAAAGCCATCACTCTGGCAGTGTGCAAAGACATGTGCCGAGAGCCTCAGGCTGGGAAAGACATGCATGCCCCTGCTTTCACACAGAGCAGCCATTTGACTTTCACTCCAGCGGTCCTCAGCCACCCCATGTGTAGTGTGTTTTGATGAGGCTGCTGTTTTCCTCCCTATATGCTCTTGTTGAAAGGTTGCAAGGCTAGCAGGAATCACTTGCAGCCTGGAAAGACTGAGAGTTTTATTTGGCCGGGTAAGGGTCTTAAATCAGGGAAATTCTTTGTTTTCAAATTTTTATTCTCACCATTCCCTAGGGGTGCTTTTAATGCAAGACATTATTTCTAAGAAACACATGAACAGAAATGTGGGAGAGTGCATAGCTCTGTCTTGCCATCCACATCAAATGCAAATTTCTTCTCCTGGCTTTCAAACCTGTCCAGTTTCCTCAGCTCCAACACTTGAAAAAATTTATTTCTTGAGTTCTGCAACTCTAAATTTCCCTTCAGTCCACTAATATCTTTAGCAAAACTCCTGAAGCAATTTTCAAGGCATGCTTACTTGTAATGTAAGAAACTTCACCAGCCAAATTCTGCCGTCAACCTCTATTTTTTTCTCTAGCATCAGTATTCTCATTCACCCTTGCCAGGTAACGCTTTAACAAATTTTGCAAAGCCCAGCATACAGAATTTGCGGGATTGCCCTCCTGATTATAAATTGTTCTAGAGGGGAAAACTGCACCAGATTCTGTTCTCCATCCAAAAATAGTAGATGACCGTTAATCCATTGATGTAGTTCAGTTATTCTAGACCTTTTCAAATGTTATTGCAATCAAGTTCTAGAATGCTGGTTTAGCTGCTTAGGTACATAGTCGTAACTATGTAACTACATAGTAACAATATGGACCAACAAACCATTGTGTTTGCAAACATATACAGATTACGTATGCAGGCAAAGTTAGGTGGACGTAGTGTGCTGAAACCAAAGATTTCATTTTTTCTTTTTGTTCTGTCTATTTTAAAGGATTTTTAAAGACAAAAATTCTTTTCTGAAGCCCATTACATGTTAGCTCTGCAATCTGTGACAGTCACCTCTGAGCACAGTCCATGGTGCAGAAGAAGCGGGCTGAGGACAAGTGGGTTTCCAACCCGTTCCGTTCTGATACAGATGCAAGCCATGAAGAGCAGCAGGGCTAACCCAGGCAAAAACTAAGTCAGACCATAAACAGGAAGGCTAGAAACAAGTGTTGAGGTATCTGTCTCTTCCTGTGCTGATGAAAGCAGTTAGAGTAGCTCCTTCCCCAGGAGGAATATTCTCTTGTCTCAGTAAGATTCAAAATGAGAAGTTTTAGGATCACAACCTGCTGTTTTCTCCTTCAGATCTTTGTTAAAGAGGGAACGCTGATGAAAGTCTCTGGCAAAAACAGGCATCCTCGCCATTTGTTCTTGGTAAGTTTCTTTTGTATTTTTACTGTTTCTCTCATATCTTCTCTTGCAATTATGCAGCCCTGATCCCTGGCAGAAACTTTCAGGCTGCAAGCCATTTAACCATCAGCAATGATGTGGTGAGTCAGTTTCTGTTGCTAACGGGGCTGTAGTCCTTCTCACACATGTCCCACTGGCCCTGCATACAGGAATATGGGCTGTGTAGCTGTCCATTTGTGCCACAGCTACGTACAGCCGTGACTAGGCCATCATTTTGCAAAGGAGTGCAAGTTTCCAAGGTGATCAGGAGGATGGGAGCTCCTGAATACTTGCAGCAACTAAGCTTCACACTTGAAAGTCCAACCCTAAGGTCTTGGGAGATCTGACTAGAAACGACAGAGAATACCCTACTGCTAAAGCTTATGACAGCTTTCTCTGGACTCACTTGAGAGAGATTTGTATCCTTGAAGCTCAAGGACTGGGTTTTAGTTCCTGCTGTCCACATCTATGTAAATTACCTGATTACTGTGTATTGCCTCTGTATAGTCCCTGTGAACACACACCTCCAGCTTCCTGTTGATTAGAGCAACTGTTTTCAATGAGAGTTTGCAAAATTCTTCTAGGATAGTTAGGAAAAATGAACCCTTCATCAGTTGGCTGGAATACCCTTCACAAGGGTCCACAACCCTGCTGCAAAAATTGCAAGTATTTGCAAATCAAAACAGATTAAAACCCACTGTTTTGGAGATAAGCTATTAACACTCACGCCTTCGGTTTTGCATTACACAATATATTGAGCAGTTAGAGAGTACCTGAGACTCGAGGCTCCTGGGCTCTATTCTCAACTTCTCAGGGAGCTTATTGTGTAACCACAGGCACTTCTATGCATTTATCCGTATGAAGGGGAAAATAATACTTGCCTGTGTCTTAGGACTTGGTTACCTGCTAATGTCTGAAAAATTCTTTAGAGCTCCTTCCCAGAAAAGAGCCACAAAGAACTGAACATTACTGCTGTTGTTAACATTAAAGTACTGTTTGCAGAATTTATTTTAAAATAAATGGCTTACATGCCTAGAATACATTATTTGCTGTGGCCTCTGTAAGTGCTGACAGCTCTTCACCCTGGGACTATTGTGAGGAGGAGAAATGGCTTATTACAGAAGTCATGCATTTTGCCATTAATTCTTGTTATTTCTCTCTCTTACTAATATTTCCTATTTGTACATGAGTGGATGCACAATCTTCTTTGCGTCCTCAATCATATACTGCAGTCATAACCAAAGATCAGATGGGATGGGACACAGTGCTGACACTGCACTTTTCTGATGGCTTCATTGGTTTCTGTGAAACTTCAGACTTTCATGTACCTAAAGTGATGGATTTCACACAAATCTTCAAATATGAGATTGCTGCAGTGCTCTTTTACTGAGTCGGCATCAATGGACTGAAACAACAGCAATAAATGTTAAAATCATGACTTTGTTGCAGCCAAGAGAAAATGATCATGCCAGAATCTCCAGGAGCTGGTCTTAAGAAAGTGTTCTCAGCAGTAGCAACTCTGAAGCCTACTGATGAACACTTCATAATAGATCATACTTGCTTCCTTACTGATCTCTCTTCTGAAACACTCGCCTTTGCTAGTATTACAAAAACATTGTGGAGTTGTGGCTAAAGCTGAGACCAAATTCCAAGAAGTTGTTACAATTTCGTCGGCCATCATAATCCACTACTATGGCAAATACTGAACTGTCACAAACCTAGTTATTATAACGGATATAGAGAATTTAAAAGGAAGATCAGAAAACAGGCTGGTAATAAACGTTTAGAGGAAAGTAATTTAAACTTGAGATAAACTGAGATAAATTTCAAGTAGTCCGAAATGGTTGTATCAGCTTGAATGTCACAAGAGGCTGAAAGTATTACTGGAACAAAGAAAGCACAGAAATTTAGGAACTACTTTTGATTCCTGGGGAGAGTTCAGCTGCTCAAGCTCAGATGTTAATTGCAAAGAGAGAAGTGTCTATTGGCAGCTGGAGACATTACAGAAGCTAATGCCCTGTAGTTAACAGATTCTCTCAGTATTCAGAAACAGTGTTTTGTTCTTCCTTTCAGTCAGAAAGGCAAACTGTGACCAAACATGCTGTCATGGAAAGTATGTGGTGGAGCTAGACTAAACCATAGCAGTCCACTCTCAAGAACCAAGAGACACATAAGACTGGCTTCTTTCCTGCTCTAACACACTAAAGTTGCAACCACTTCAGGCTTCCTATATTATGTCTCCTGTTGGGATGGGGCAGGGGTGATTGGATCTTGGAAATAGTTTGAAATTTATTGGCCAATATCTGCCTTTGGGTTCAGTGATTTTTTTTACTCAGTCTTCTCTACCCTGAAAACTGCTTAGGTTGCAGAGCAATGTCACGTACGGTGAAACTGCAGGAAAGCAAGTCACTGTGAAATATGGTAATTCCTGCATTGACACTGGAATGGTTTTGCATTATCTGCTTGTCACTGCTAATGCTGTTGATTCTATGTCGTGCCACCACTACTCGTGCATTGCTTAATGGACTATTTAGCCTGTGGATACATTAAGACAACTACTGCATAGCTATGGCATCATATTTTCATCTTGGCATATAGCGTCTTTACTGCATAAGTCTTGAGGCTCTACCAGCCATCACTGCCAACATCTTTTTGTAACAGCTGGGGCCTGCATGAACACATCCTTCCCTCTACCAGTGCATCTAGCCCAACCCACGTGCTGTCTTGAGTCTGATGCCTGTGGACATTGTGCGGAAAAAAACTCAACCCAAACCCACAAAACCCCGAGAATAGAATAATCTCCTCAACATGGTCTCTTAAAACCCACATTTATTTAAAGCCCTTATCTTCTCAGGACCATATCATAATCCTTTGAAGCCACTGTAAAAATCAGGTAGGATAAGAACTTGTCCTAATGTATTAAACAAAAAAACGTTTCAGAACTGGCTTTTTTTTTGATGTTTCGCATGTCAGCTGCCACTTAAAAAAGATCACCAGAGGCTAACCTGTAGAGGTGTAGTTTGATTTAGCTTTGGATGAAATAAATGTATTTACTTTAGCTACCCGAAACAGATTTTTACAGGAACAGCATTTTCTGAAGTTCTTAGTAGCGAATTTAGTCTTGACTGAAGCTAACTCAAGCCCAGGTCCTGGAGAGAACTTCAGTGAAAGAGTATACGCTGAAGAAGAACCCTGAGAAGGGTAACTCCTACGCATCCCAGGAGATGAGCCCACCAAACTAAAGTTGTAGTTAGAATACGCTATAAAAATTGAGTGTGTGCCAGACTCCTATTTGGCCTGTGCATTCAGGGTGTGCTTCGGTGGTGTATGTGCTTGTGCTCTGAATATATGCCCATAAGGAGCATCTGTGTGCAGCCCATATAGGCATGAGTGTGTAGGACACACATTTAGGGGCTTTTGAGGCACATATGTTTCTGCGGTGTGTGTTGTGTGTATCACAAGGTTACTCGAGCTGGCTGTTTTGTGCGGGCTGATGGTATTGTTGAATCTGGTGTTTCCTGGCAGGATGTTTGGTGAGTTTTGCTGCACGCCTGTTTCCTGAGTCCAGTCTCTGTTTACAAGGATGTTGGGGCCTCTTTGCAGCACAGTATGGGCTGCTGACACTGGCAAGCCCCCTAACTGCCCCCCAACCACAGGACTTTGCAACTCAGACACTGTCTCTTATCTCACCCTTCCAAGAATTTCTCTACAAAGGCTGCTTGTGTTGCAAATGGCGTGCGGGAAGCTGCTATCAAATGGGAGACTGTTTAATGCTCTAGCTGGCAGGGCTGGAATATAGGAGATTTTGGAGTCAGAGCTTGGAAAATGCAGCCCCAGCACACATTCAGGCTGCTCCACTGACACTCAGGGGACGATTAACACAGATTTAAATAGAACAACAAAGGGACTACCCTTTAAAACATTCAGAAAAAACAAACAAGTGGTAGGAGCTTTCGGACAGAGAGTGCATTACGTATGGATGCCAGCAGTTCAGCAGAGCATAGATAAACTTGTTTGGATCAATAAATTTGGACACTGTAGGTTAGAAAACTTGCACTGGTCTCTAATGTTACTGGGTTCCCATCTCAACAGAGGGGATAATAAAAAGAAGGGAGGAAAAAGAAAAGTGGCAATGGAAAAAAATAAAATGAAGAGCAGATTTATCCTTCCTCTGTGTTATTAACTGTTGTTTGGGAGACTGTGTGTGTGCAGAACAGGAATATTTGCTCCCATATCAATATCTGAGCAGTTTAGCAATCCCAACTATTCAAAAGTTTTCTGGAAAACAGGAAGTGGGTCTGAAGCTGAAAGACTTGGGGATTGTGGCAGCAGATCTCTTCTACCACAGACTCCTGGAGGGCTGCAAGGTCAGCTTTTATCATGGCCCAATCCTCAGTGCTTCAGGGAACAGTGTGCAGTGTGAAGCAGGACTATGCATGAAACCACTGGTACTGATACTAGTTCTGTCCATACCATTCATACAGCCACCACTCACATCTCCAGTGTAGATGTGGCAAAGGAGACAGCAGTTTGCAGCGAGTGCAAACCTTTCCTTTCTTCATGAATACGTATGCCTTGCTTAGCAGGGTCTGAAATATTTGTCATACTTTCATTATGTCAAGCTGTGGCTGGTGGGACCTCAGTCACAGCCCACCACTATATACTGTGGGGGAGAAATACAGAAGGAGGAAAAAAACTCCAATGGGCAATTAGAAAGCAAAGTCATCATTAATGTTTAATAAAATTTTGGGATATTGACCAGAGCTGTCATGACAATGGTATGTACCAGGGTGTCATCTTTAATTAACAGTAATAAAAGAATGATCTGCTTTTTAAGGAAACATGTAACTTTTAAAATAAATAAAACAAATGAGGTTTGCAGTTCAAGAAACCCAGTAGCACGTTATGCCAGAATCCTGAAAATCTCTCTTAGGAGTTCACTTCCTTGGGCTTAGTCCCCATAACTAGTTACCTCTTCTTGTGGTTTGAAAATAGCCTTAAGTACTGGCACTGATGAGTGGCAGAGGAAGTCCTGTTTTCTCTTATAATCCTTTGAACATTCAGGAGATAGCAGAATCACCAGGCAAATATGAGATTTCGTAAGTATTCTCCTAATGTTAGCAATAAAGTCTGCTTGCCTTTTTACCTTTTTCCCACCTGGCTGCTGGAGTTCTAGTTGCTACTAATAATATCAAGTGAAAATAGCTTTCATCTGCTTTTCACTGAAAGATTTACATTTGCTCAGTTTTTTTCTACCTTAGCCTCCTAGGTACTTAGTGTGCAGTAGGTTGGAATGAATTTTCTGGTTATGCATAGCCCTGGTTAAACTGGGAATCATCATGTGGTCAGTACTATGCAGGTGTCAATGTGCTGATGAGATTAATGTTAGCATGGAGGGTAATTTATGGAGTAATAAGTAAATCATAGAAAAACTGTGACAAGCCATTTTTCACCTTGTTCTAAGGAAATTCTACCGTGTTGTTGCAAAAGCAGTAAATACTCTGTTTTAGACTACAGAGAAGAGAGCGTGACACTCTATTCTGACTTCACAGTATGCTTTTATATCCTCAGTTGAGAAGTGTTTTCTATTAAAAGAGCTTTGAACTTTTCCACGAGTTAAGACTTAACTAAAAGGACACAGAGAAATACACAGTAGAGTGGCCAATGCAGGAGAGCATGGGAGACTGTTAAAATGTTAGAATGAAATGTTTCAGCATTTTCTACAAAAATATTGGCTGATCCTACTCAGTAAACTCAATTCAATTTTTAAAAGTAGTAAAATTTGAAGTAAAAGTTTTGGAGAAAGTCACTCTTCAGTATATTTTGCCTCACGTTAATGGGAATCTGCATTTTAAAGGTGGGCAGCTAATGCACATAAGCCTGATTTGCTGTGAATCAAGCAGCTACTTCATGAACTGGTGTCCACAAGTGAACTCATGACCCTAATAAAGGCACCAACAGTTTTGCTGTTAAGTCCAAGGTGATAAGGATTTCATCCCATGAGTATTAATTCTATGTCATTTTTCTTTAACCATTGTTCCTGCTCTGTAAGAAAGCTGAACTATGACCTTTTAAGAAAACATCTGGGTTTTTTTCAGGCAAGCAAATTAGTGAAAATTTTACACCAGCAGTTTTAGGTGGTCAGGCAGTACTATCAAGACCCCGACAATCTCAGTCATACAGGATACATTATTTCAGTGCCAAATCATTCTATAGTTTCCTCTTTTCTTCTGTGTCTCTCTTTATCACAGTTTTCCTTCCAGAATATAGTATTATTACCATCCAATTTGCTAGATTTAAATGTGTTTTTTTTCTACAGAGGAATCCAAGTTAAACTGGTTTCTGTCTACTTTTTAATTTCTTGAGAATTTCTGCATTTAAGATGCCTTGTCTCTGGCATCACACGGTATTATTACCTATGCCTTAGTTTTACATTGCCTTGCACATCTTTGTTCATAGTATCATGGTACAGTAATCAAGGGGCTGTCTGTGTTTATGCATATTGGTACTGATGTGAGAGGCCTGGGAAGGTGAACAAGAAAACATGACCTGCTTGCTCAAGTAAAGCAGAGAATGTGTACATACAAGTATGTATACAAGTATACATGAAGATATCAGAGGGCTGGAGCACCTCTCCTACAAAGACAGGCTGAGAGAGTTGGAGTTCTTCAGCCTGGAGAAGAGAAGGCTCCGGGGAGACCTTCCAGCACCTTCCAGTACCTAAAGGGGCTACAAGAAAGCTGGAGAGGGGCTTTGGACAAGGGTGTGTAGTGACAGGACACAGGGCAATGGCTTTAAACTGAAAGAGGGGAGATTTCAATTAGATCTAAGGAAGAAATTTTTCACTCTGAGAGTGGTGAAACACTGAAACAGGTTTCCCAGAGAAGCTGTGGATGCCCCATCCCTGGAAGTGTTCAAGGCCAGGCTGGATGAGGATTTGAGCAACCTGGTGTAGTGGAGGGTGTCCCTGCCCATGGCAGGGGGGGTGGAACTAGATGATCTTTAAGGGCCCTTCCAACTCAAACTATTCTATGATTCTGATTCTGTAAGTGTTATTTTGGCAATGTTAAGGCCCACCGATACTGCTACTCGTTCTAGTACCAAGGGAAGGAGAGGCTAGCAAAGACCTACAAGGTGCAGTTCTGCTGTTTCGTTTATTTGTTTGTCGGCATAAAGGTAAAAGGCTGCAATAATGCCTATGATTAAGTTAGGTAAACAGCACAGAAGATCTGATCCTATTTAGTATGAAGCTGTTTGAAAAACGTGCATTCTGCAAGGAGCTGTGAGAACTATGGAAATATTTTAGGCTTTTAAGGTACATAAAAGGTTTCATAAAATGAAAAAAAGTTTCTCATTCTTGCCCTTCCATGGCTTCTGCTGCAGCCCACAAACTCAGCAAAGCTGTTGTATATCTAGGCAAGTTTTGCTAACAATGAAGTACAGTTACTGTTCTCAAACATCCAAACCATTCGTCCCTGAATCATTCCTCCAGACTGTGGCAGCTCTCTTCACCGCCACGTCCTTTTTGCTAGAAAATGGAAGTCTTTGATGCCCAGCCCTACCCCCTGGGCTCACTGCAGCTTCACTGTCAGGGAGGCCCTGAGACAGTAGAGCTGCAGCATCCTGGGCAGTTGGTATTGCTAGGTAGTAAATGCAGAGTCTGCATTCCCAACTTGAACATACCATTGCCCTTAAAACAACCAGCTGTTTCACCTGAGCTGAATAAAAAAGAGCTGATTATCTACTTGCTTAGGCGTTAGCAACAGTCAAAATTAGGAAGACATCAAAGTCCGGGATGCACACTCCCCCGAGTTCTGTGGAAACGCAGGTCTCGATCCAAGCTGTGTGGCTCGGGCCTGTCTTCAGTAACAGTCCTAGCAGTTCATCAGCTTACTGCTTGCTCTGCGTATCCTCCCCAGGAGGAATGGGCAGGCCTGCAAGCCATATTGCAAATTATTGATTTTGTCTTTCTCTTCATATAGATGAATGATGTTCTGCTGTACACATATCCCCAGAAGGATGGCAAGTACCGACTGAAAAACACCTTGGCTGTCTCAGGCATGAAGGTAATGCCTCAACTGTATTATAGTTTGGAATTAAAGTTGTATAGTGGGCTGCTAGTGCTTTGCTGCTTTATGTCTCACATCCAGCTGAGGGCAAGGGGAAAGAGCAGATGGAGCTGTTATCAGGCAATTACCTTGTCTCTTACAGGAGACAGAAGGAAAAATAACATAAAGCAAACATATAAAAGATTATCTTTAAGGCTGTGACTTAGTACAACAGCCTTATTCAGGCTGCACAAATAATACAAGCCAAAATCAGATTTACCATCTGATCATGAAACTGGAGACAGAAAAGATTTATTATCCCATTTTGTCCATTTCTCTGTTCATGTCTCCAGCCAATACATGGTTGTTCCTTACAACATATTCACTAGGGCTTAGTCTGTCTGGTTTTAAACTCCTGCCACTCAAAATTTACATAAGCTTTCATTTGCCTGGTTTTCATGTGACCTTTAACTGTTTTCATCAAAAGCATTAACGGGTTCAAAAAGTGATTAACCAACTTTATGGGAAAAATGTGTACTGGGAGCTATTACATGCAATGATATAAACACAGGCTCTTCTTCAGTAAATTTCTGAATTGCATATTACAGAAACTGGACACAATTTTCCTCTTCTTACACACTTTCCCTCAATATCTATTGGCACCAGTACCTGTGCAACAGGAGATACTAGACTGGAGCGGGTCTTTGCTTCTTACCTAGCCATCTATTACATACCTTCCACCAAGAACCTTCATTAACTGTTCTACAGCTAATATGCCAAGTTGTACTTATGTGAAAGAGGAACTGAAGTGGCAAGTCAGGAGTCTGGGGATCTACAAAACATGCATGATGAGAAGTACTAACCATTCATTCCAGTGGAATGACATGGGTGGGTTGTGGTGTTATGAAAAGGTGGAAGGCTGATCACCCTAGTGACCTGATAGTCTAAAACTGACTATGGGATCCCAGCTGGTGTAGGAATTGCCAAAACACTCTACCTTTAGGTGAAAAGGAGTTGCAGAGCAGATATGTGTTGGGGTACATTCAAAACACTGATCACTGGCATAATAAATGCTTGTTAATAACAACATATCAGTACCATGAAACCATGTTTCTCCTAAGTAGCTGTTGCTGTTAGTAGGCAACTAATACACTGCATGGCAGGGAAAAGGTTTCAGCTGAGCTGTAGCTTTTAAGTATTTTTTTTGCTCTTAAAAAGCCTTGCTGCAGAGAGGCATTCACTGAACTGGAATGCTTCCCTGTATAGTGTCTGCACTGCAGGAAGAAAGTTACTTTCATTAATTCCAAGAACAGCCAAATCTTTTGGCCAAAATGCTCTGAGACTTGCCAGACTAAACCTCTCCTAAGCTTGTCCTATTAAAACTGAACCTTGATTGATACTTTATCCTTACCTTTATAGTTGCATTTAATGATTTTTTTTCCTTTAGCAGCACCACCACCATATTGAAATAGAGAGCATTCCTCATTACACCAGCAAGACAAAAGACAGAAAACTCTTCCTGCCCATCTCTTTCCATTGAAATATGAAATGGATGGCTGGGACATCATAGATCCATATGCATTGAGACTTGTATGGTGTACTGGTTATAGACAGTTTAACTCATGTCCACATTCATGTTCATGGCTTTTATTTTTTAGGTCAGCCGCCCAGTGACAGAAAAAGCCCAAAACGTCCTGAAGATTGAATATGATGAATATTGCCTGACCCTGTCAGCAAGGTACTGTCCCCAAACAGCCATGGCAGAGGGTGTTACATTTAGAGCTGTATCTCTAGATTAGTCTAACCAATACCCAAGACTTAACTGGTGTCTAATTTTTTTTTAGCTCATTTTCAGTCTGTGCTATTCTGGCAGAAAGTGACTGAGTGCTTGATGATACAACGAAGTTACTAATTATAAATATGAAGCTCATAAACTGTAACTAATTCAACTCATATACTGAGTAAAGATTAGAAATCAGCTCTTGAAAACATCTTTAAGAGAAAGGAAAGAGAAGACAGTCTGTTACGAAGAAGCCTGAGTCCTTTTCATTATCTTTTACACTTATTTGCTGTGACACTAAGAGTATGTTGTATCTCCCTTTTATAAGTTCACTTGTTACCTCATGCCACTAGGGTTGCAAAACTTCTGGAGAAAATCGTAATTAGGTAATACCATGCAAGAGATATAAACCCATTTAATAGTGCTTAAATGGCAAAGCCAAAATTAAAACTTACTGGCAACTTCATGGGTCTTTCTAATAAAATGTCGCTAATGAGTTTGTGTAGTGCTAGTACTGATTGCAACTGGGAGTCAGTTGCATCTCTGTCCTGGGATCACAAGCTAACACCAGAAAGAGATTATAGGTCAGTTTCTGATGAGAAGATAGCAGTATACTGTATTTTTTCATTCTTCTAGCCCAAAATTACCCTGAAAATTCACCTAGAGCTACAGCAGAAAGGTGGCTGGCTTGATTTTCAGGTGTAGTTTACTACAAAAGACATAGCACCCTAGCAGTAAAATTAAGTCTTCCAAATAACAAGGTCTTCAGTGCTTTCAAGTACTGACTTTCCTACTATCAGCCTGGAACCACAGCATGGCTAGAAACACAGCAGACTTCCCTAAACTACACAGTGCAACAGAAAGACAGGGAGGGCACTTCAGAATCTGAATTTGGAGCTGTCATCCTTCCCAGAGCACTTGCTATCTGTGGGCAGTGCTCAGATACCTATCAAAGCCTTTTTGTCTACTTTCTTTTATAATCAGCAAATGAAAAAATATCTGAGATTTTCTTCCAGCTGCATGCTCATCACAACCCTCAAAATATACACACAGTACTTCTGAATTACCTACTGGCAGTTACAAAAGCAGGATGTGTACAGTCCTTCTGTATGGTAAAGGGGAAATAACTGCTGCATGTTCCCGTTATTCAAAGCAAATGAAGTTGGCATCTCTAGTGAGAAGACTGGGATGTTCTACTTGCATTGTTATGCTGTTTCTTTGCCTTTTGTACTCTTGTCAACTCTGTGCTCAGTTAGCCTAAACAAAGCACGTGAGGCCACCGCAAACTGTATTTCTTTGGTAGTAGATATAACCAGGGCCTGAGACTAAGGTTGCCCATCTGATAACAGCTAGATGGAGACTGACTCTTATCAGAGCACTGGGATAGAGCCCCTTTCCCTTTCTTGTGCTGCTTGTTCTGGGACCAATCTGCCCTAAGTCGCCTAAGAACATTTTTTCCTCTCGTTTTCTGCACTGGCTAGCAGAGCTGATGAAACAGGGGACAGCATGTTCTCCTAACTCCGCTGCACAACACCCTTGGCCTCCTATACTCACCAAAAGGAGCACCAAAGACAGGAAAGTACCAGAAGGTTTCAAGCGTCCCTAAAGACTGCATCTTTTAGTGCTCACACTGAGGTGCTGCAAGTCTGCACTGAAGGCCAGCTGTTAACAATCACAACCCAAACCTCAATGCCTTTACATCTGTATGAGACAAGGTGAATGCATGGAGGAAATATGGCATGAGTGCCAGGGTCTAAAGTCAGTAGAATAAGGATGACCAAAGCTCAGAAGTCAGTGTGGCTATATGAGCAGATGGCACTGAAAGCCTTCACATCTCCTG